GCATCATTTTCTAAAAGGAACTATTCTCAGGCAAATGTCTGCTAGTACTTAAGATAAACATAAAAGTGATGATGTTACTATTATTTAATACACCATATTACTTCTCTTTGTATGTCCTTGTCTTTGAGCCTCATGCAAGCTGATTATGTTACCTTAAAACGATCATAACCATAGACAATTCAAACTGAGCATATGATTAAAACAATGCGTAAGCAAATGTTACCTTCAGTGAAATTGATCCTTTGATGAAGAGCTGGATTGTGACCAAACAGGGCCCTAGGCACCGTATTAGCTTTGGCCCTGTCCTCTAAGCCTCCTTCCATATGAACACTCTGTTGACATATTCCATTAATATAAGAAAATACCAAACAAGTGTTGTCGCCTCAAAGAAGGTTTCTGCATTATATGTTACTCTCTGATGAAATGTAAACAATTTTTCCTTCTGTATTACTTTGTTGTACCTTAAGGGCCCATTTATACTGTATCTTTGTGCTGCACTGCATTGAATTGTGTTGTGCATTGAATGTTGTGCATTGAATTAAGGCAGCACATTGTACCACAATGCACACACAATCATACATGCAACATTTTTTTGCACTGCAGCACATGACAGCACGCATGCATAGGTGTGGAAGAGCCTTAAAGTGGAATTAAACTCCACTGCCGGCACCCTGGGTTTTTGCCATAATGTGTAAGTATTCACAGCATCTTGCATATGGCTTACCTGAAAAGCGCCCCCACTTCAGTTCTGTGACAGCCGCAATGTCCGTTGTGCCCCATCGTTGCCACTGATTTCTTAGCCCAGTCTTCATCTGTGTTCGGCGTCTTTGGTCATCATCTTGATTGGCCAGCTTTGGGTGCTGTAACTCCCGCACATAGTCATACCTCCCAACAGGCCCTCGTTTGGAGGGACTCTTCCTCATTTACCGTATTTTTCCATCTATAAGACGCCCCCATGTATAAGACGCCCCCAACTTTTCTTACCCAAAATTCAGAAATCAATATTTTAAAATGATATAATTCATCACACTTACCTCTAAGTCAATCACGTTATGCTCCAACATTACAGCTCTGGCACTGGCTACTCGCTCTCCCCGGCAGCAGCTGACATCGGGTACAAAAGATTTATGATCGGATTACAGAGACAAGATAGGTTTTGCTCCAGTCGTGGATCTTTTGTGCCTGGCGTCAGCTGTTGCTGGGGAGAGCGGATTGCAGAGGCAAGATAACAGTATTCTTCCACTCTCCCCAGCAACAGCTGACGTCAGGTACGAAAGATTTACAATTGGAGGAAGACTTGTCTTGTCTGAGACTAGTTTGCAGTGGTATCTGCGCTTTCGGCAGTTTCGCAACCACGGTTCTCCTCTCGGCCCCCATGTATAAGACGCCCCTCTATTTTTGGGTAAACATTTTAATGAAAAAGTAGCGTCTTATACACGGAAAAATACGCTATGAAAATGTATTATTTAACTACCAAAAGTGTCATTCTGGACTAAACCTTTTACCTTTTTATTCTCTTGTTTGCTTTTTCAAAAAGCCAGCATTAAGGGGAAAAAAACAGTGCTTGGTTTCACCAATTATTACAAAATAATAAATACAAAATTTCACTTCGTGCAAAAGTGCAAAAAATAAAACTTATTATACAAAAATTATAAGAAAATTCCTTGTATAATAAGTTGTTTGGTTTTTTTTGCACGAAGTGAAATTTTGTATTTAATATCTCACTGGCTACCACCAGGATATGGTAGCAGATTATGCACTAAAGATTATAAGCACTTTCATTGTGTGTTAATAACACGTATTTAATAGTTTTGGTTCACTTATTGGTGACCCTGAGCGCTGCACACTCATTTACATACATTTTGACCCCAGTGTCCCTAGCGCAGCAGCTTTTTTTATTTATTTATTTATTTATTTATAAATACACAGATATCTATCTATCTATCTATCTATCTATCTATCTATCTATCTATCTATCTATCTATATCTGTGTATTTATAAATAAATAAAGTAGAAAAAATAAAAAAAAGGTTTAAAAATGTAGATCAATGATAGAGCTAAAAAAAAATTGTTTCTTTAAAAAATAAAAATAAATAAATCAATTGGGCGGAGCTAGCAGTGACAGCTAGCTCCACCCAGCTGTTTCGTATAAGCCAGGACCTGCTAGAGTCTTCTAGCAGTTCCCAGCCAATGAATAACAACTGGGTGGAGCCGGCCGCCGAGTTTTCATTGTAATGACAGTTCAGCGTCCCCTGGCTACCTGCCCAGATAGCAAGGATAACTTGCCACAAACTTGTGGCAGGGTTAAATTGTAATTCTTGCTAACTTGCTGCACACATTCCTGGCAAGTTGTAGACTTGCAGAACACTTGCAGCACAAGTTCTAGTTGACACTTTTTGAATTTGTAGCAAATTTGCTTGGCAAGTCTACAGCAAGAGTCCTGCAGGTCTTAGCAAGAGCTCTGCAAGCTCGCTGGCCTGGAGACTTGCAATGCAGACTTGCTGTAATTGTGCCACAAAATAGTGAAGCTTGGCAAGTCTGCAATAGTTTAGCAAGTCATTTTCAAACTTGCAGCTCAATTGCTTGCTATCGGGGTGGTAACCAGGGGACGCTGAACTGTCATTGCAACTGGCTGGAGCCAGCCGTGAGATCACGGCTGGCTCCGCCCAGCTGTAAGTTGTGAGGCTTTCGGCCCGCTTCGGGTTTCACTTCGGCTCAGTAGAGCCAAAACATATGCCTTCGGCTCCACTGAGCCACTCGGCCAGCTTCGGGAGCTGCACTGGCTATAGTGAATAGCCCGTACAGCAGCCCTTCGGTTCTACTTCAGGCGGCTGGAACTACGGCTGATCCTTCGGCTATCTTTGTGAATAACCCTGTTAGTTTTTACAGAAATTGCCATTTAATTATTTTTATTTAATAACATAGTTGTTTTTACCTTTTTTTATCCATTGTGGTACCCCGGTTCTGATGATCTCCTGCAGCCTTTTGCATCCACTTTCTGTCTAAATACCCTCTAACGATCTCTGTCTGTGTGGCATTATTTCTCAGATCATGATTCCTTTGTGTAGACAACAGTCGCTCTTGCCTGCATAATGTGTATAGGCATGGGCATGATTCATAATGCGTGTTGAAATTGTCACTTGAGGTCTTCATGAGAAAGCCATGTGACAGGTTGTCAATTCAGGAACATAATTTGGAGACTATTTCAGAGCGTTGTAACTTCATAACAGGAAGTACCTGAACAAGGACCTTCATAGAAGAATAACCATGTGTTATTTTAATTAAAGCTGCAGATTTATAACTATTGGAAATGGATTTTTAAATTACATTAACATGTTAAAGCTTATATGAGATGTTGGTGATCAGATTTACAGCTAGTATAGCTGCCCCATAATGATCGCACCTCTTTTTTGTAACATCCTTGCAAACTGTTATTCTTGCAAGATACAGTCAGCCTGCTGGTATCTCAGAAAGGTGCTTTCAGACAAAATCCATTCTGTTTGCTGCTGGGCTCCACCATGTTGCCTCTGACATCAAGGGGCATCATGGACTTTTCTGTCAACGAATGTCAAAGGATTCTGGTTAAATGTGCATTCAGGTTAGCTAGAGTCTATGGTCTTTAATGTGTTCATTTTGAAGCAAAGGAGGCAGTTGACACAAGCCAAAACATTTTAATTGAAGCATGCAGAGATAGATGTATTACATTTTTGAGAGATTGAGTTAAGCTGCTACCGAGTAATTAATGAATTATTAAATACCTGCTATCACTGCTGCTTGGCTCAATGCCTGCGTTCACAGCCACTGTCATAACCTGGAGCAGCTGTGCACGGCAACCAATCAGCTTCTCTCTTTCATTTTCAAATCTTAGCTGAAGACAGCAGCTCATTGATTGCCCTGGGCAACTGCTCCAGATTTTGTCTGCTCCAGTGTTCCACCTTCTAGGGGGAACGTATCAAAACTGTGGCAGACAGAATGGCAACCAACCAGCTTCTCTCTTGAGTTTGTTCAGTTAAGTTTTGAAAATGAAAGACAGAAGCTGATTGGTTGCAATGGACAACTGCTCCAGATTCTGCGTGCCCAAGTTTTGATGAATTTCCCATCACAGAGAGAGCCTGTGATGTTTTGAAAGGGGAGGAAATAAGGAGCCAGAGCAAAAGCAATCTGACACTGCCGTAAGTGTCAGTTTTAGAATGAGTGTTAGGCCCCTTCTTCCCGGGGGCGGTTTGATAGGGCCTGCCTCAGATACCCAATTTAAGTCTATGGGCATCTAACGGGCATCTATTTACACTCGGTTATCCCCAACTCCGGCTAGGCCTGGAAAATGAACAGATCAGAAATCCATTTTGCCGGACCGGATCGAGCCGCATCAGGGGTAATCTGATGTAAACAGATACATGTCCGTCAATGGGGAAAATCACCTGGTGAGGAGGCAGCATGTACCTGGCTTCCTGGCCAATCAGCAAACCGGGGGGGAGGGGGCAAGTTATTACTCACCCCCCAGCTTCCTGATTGACCAGGAAGCCAGACGGAGAGTCATTATCCGCACCCCGGCTTCCTGATTGGCCAGTCAAGTAATTACATGCCGCACAGCTTCCCGGTTAATGACTGCCACCTAGCTTCCTTAATGGGACTTCTGGTATCAGTATTTAGTATCGGTGAGTACCGCAAAAAATAAATAAAAATAGCTGCATCCCTAATTAAGAGCCTTTTTTTCATTCAGGTTTTTTTTAAATTTCACATGTGTGGTGACAGGGTCTCCTGAAAGTGGAATTAAAGTCTTTCAGGTTTTTTTTGGAAAATATATCTACTGCTAACAAGCAGTAGATAAATGCCCCATGATTTAAAAAAAAAAATAGAAAAGTAGGCAAATACCTAAATACTTACCTGTTCCAGTGCCGCTCCCTCCCGGCTGAAGAACTCCCATTTTCCGAACGGCTGTGAAGGAGTGTGTGGGCGCACGCGCAGTAGAGTGAAGGGGAGAAAACAGACAATGACAATGAATGGACCCAGCTGGCAGAGCGCATGCCTCCCTGGGACATGAGGAGTCTGTGCTGGATCAGAGAGCACTGGAGGGACTGTCGGAAATGAGTGGAATGAAGAAGCTGATCGCACCAGAAGGCATTAAATACGGTAGGTTCTTATAGCAGCATTGTGCGGGGGGGGGGGAAGCATTGAATGTCACTTTAAGTAATGAGTGAACTGTATGGGCTAGAAAATGCTGTGTCTGCAGTTTGTCATTAAGGGCTGTAATGTTTTTTTTGGCAGGGATGTCCACCAAAGAACTTACTATATAGAAAAACACACCTGATTTTCAAATAGTTTCTAGCAATCAAAATATTACAGCATAATAAATTGACCTGGGTATCAGTTTCCCGACTGGAAAAGTCGTTAAGTTTTCCAAAAAGTAAGCATACAGGAAAAGCTCCTCCCCACTACCTCTCCTTCCTTGTGCAGTGTAGAGAAGTCTTTCTGAGGCTCAGAAAGCTGTCCCAGCTGCTCCAAGCTCCCTGCCTGGAGATCTTATCCTCTGCTCTTCAGCACCTCCATCCCTTTCTTGTGCTGAAACCTGAGATCTAAAGAAAGCCTCCCCAGCCTCTCTGTCTGGCTGCGTCTTTCATCTTGCCATTTAGAAGGACTGCATACAGACAACTGCACAAGCAGGCAAACTATGTTAAGCATGTTGCAGGCTGAACTCTTTTGAGGAGTAAAGAAAAAGACAAAACTAGCAGGACATCACAATCAATTTTCTTTTTAAGCCTTGCTTTTGTGTACATTGCAGTTTGCAACCTTTACATTAGAGTGATGTTATGAATTAGCAGGGTCACTTTGTGTTAATGGGAATAAGAAGATAAGTGGAATTGTGTTTATTGCTTTGGGATGCACAACGTTTGACAGCGCAACTAAAACAGATTTTGGACGCAGGTGAAGGTTTCAAGTCACAGCTGCCTATTGCTGCTCATATGGATCCAAGCAGGAATTTGGTATTATTTTTGATTCTACTTTATGGTGGAGTATGTATGGGATCTACAAATCCTCCATCGGTGAAGGAGGTTACAGAATCCAACGCTCAGGAATCAGGAGAGGACACACTGAAAGATGAGTCTGAGAATCAGGAGAACATTCTGTCCCAGGTATCATACACTGAATCTCTTTCTGTAGTGTCACTTAGTACTTCTGCTTCTGCTTTTCAATGAGAACCCAGTGTCAATATGTCATTTTTCTGCTAACCTAACATTGGCTACTTGTGACTTAATTTAGCTAGATAATAAAAGTATAGTCCATTAACATATAGTATGTAGACTAACGTGATACATGAACTAAAGTTGTTACAGAATAAAAGTATGTAAAGCAAGATTTTTTTCATTTTGGTTAAGGTAGATAAGAGATAGAACCTTGGTAAAGTTGTTATTGCTGTCTGGGGAGATTCCACCTCTTCATGTGCCATGGTGACCATTGTCACCAAGACTAAAAGTGAGGGAAAAATCCAAAATTTTGAGTTGTCACTAGAACAGAAATAGAGGGGAAATGGGTACACTTGGGGTGCGGTGACAATTTTCTAAGGATCTATTAATATCTGTAAGTTGTGGCAATTTGCGGTAAAAAGGATGGGGGAATCAAGCATTTTTCTTTTTTAGCCCATGGGATTGAATGTGAAATAATGGCAAGGATATGGCCAAATTGAGGCCACTGTGTTTCAGTGCCATTCATTTTTAATGACACCTTAGTGCATTTAGCCGGTACACTACAACCCATGTGTGTTTTAGTGCACCAAAATGCAGTGATGTGATGTGATAAAACATACAACCAGGGATTTTTCCTACTTTGGAGATATTTCTTTTTACTTCCTGTTGTGTTTACAGAACAGGAAGTAAAGGAAATTCTCCACAATGAAACCCAAATGCCAAAACAATACAGATTTTTATGGCTGAAGCGGGCAAAGTGAACCATACTCCCAGTTTTCTGAGGTAAGGGGCACCTTTTAGTGCCACATTTTAGGCAGATGTCACACCCTTGCCATACCTCCAGTCTTGCTTACATCATCTTAGATTACAGAAAATCACAGGTAATATAAAAACTGGAACTTTTTTCTTAGAAAAATAGCATTGCCTATATCAACCAAATTCCATCATGTCTGCAGACTAGGTTAGAAAGACAAAAGTCCCTATGGGCAAAGGCATTCATTTCCCTTTTATGCCTAGTGTGCACGTCTGCCTAATGACAATATAAAAGAGAGTGTGGAACAGAGGTACAAAAGAAGGGAAAGCTTGCAGGCATGAATTCATTATACAGTGGAAACGCTTGTTAATTTTTTTTGAGTAGACGTAGGCTATCTATACACATTGGTTAAAATGTTTTGCTGAGCTTAAATATCAGAGGTATTTGTTTGTTTCCTTTACTGTAAAAGAAAAACAAGCGGTATTTCTTATGATAATGAAAAAGTTTATTTTCTTGTTACGTTTTCTGCCTTTCTGTGAAAGCCTGTAAGTAATCTGCGGTGGCAGGTCAGAATACAGATTATATTTACAGTATACTAAGGAATGCGCCGCTTAAAACATTGAGGATTACAGAAAATAATATAACCAATTTGTATAAAAAATTGTCATGCAATTTTCATACCAATATAGAATTAACGTATTTATATTACTGAATACATGTCTCTTTGATATATGTGTGTGTTTGTGTAGTTGTAAAAACTAAGGTGATGCTTACTGATAACTCTGTAGAACTCTCTTTCCTCTGGTATCAGGAATGTGCACTATTGGCTATTTGACAGCTGAGCCCCACTAGTCATTTGTATGAGTCCTCCTTAAAGGCCGATTCACACCAGCTCCAGTGCCCTGCGCTGGAGCGCATCCTGGCTGGCTTCCTGTGTTCAGGGGCGGTGCATTGAAGTCCATGGCACCACAGGCACGCCCCCCGTCCGCACCAGAACACATGGCCAGGGGCTGACTGGCAACTTTTAGCCCAGGGGGCAAGTACAACCCAGAGGCCCATGGTGCAGCAACTTGGCCCCCCTCCCGCTCTCCCTCTTCCCCGCCTTCTCCCCGCCCCTGTCTGCCACTTTTGCCATCCATGTAACGGTAGTGTGAATGTATTTATCAGTTTAGGAAATTTAAAGCACACTGGTAGTGGAGATGCCTCGTCAGGGCTGTGCACGTGCATGACTGCTGCGCCACTGGTAGTTCTGCCACTAACTCAGAAATACATTATACAGCATTGCAGAATGGCATTGGCTATAGAGAACTACAATTCCAAGCAATACATTACACAACAATGCAGAATACCATCAGCTATAGAGGACTATAAATCCCAGCAATAATGACTACCAACAGCTATAGAGAACTACAATTCCCAGCAATACCATTATACAGCAATGCAGAACAGCATCAGCTATAGAGGACTACAAATCCCAGCAATAGTACATTATAGCTGGTGGTATTCTGAATTGCGCTGTATAATGCATTATTGCTGGGTTTTGTAGTCCTCTATACAGCACAATGCAGAATACCACCAGCTACAGTATATAGGGATACAACACATTCCAGCAATACATTATACATTGAGTGTATAATGTATTGCTGGGATTTGTATTCCTCTATAGCTGATAAATCCCAGCAATACATTATACATACAGTGTATAATGTATTGCTGGAATGTGTATTCATATGTATAATATACAGCACAATGTACCATCAGCTATAGAGGAATACAAATCCCAGCAATACATTAAAGAGCACCAGGTGGGGGGGGGGAGGGGAATGCAGGCTTACCTGAGCAGTCTTCCAGCAACTTGCTTCTGAGATCGGGACTGTCTATCGGTGGCTGTCATTCCCTCACACCTGCTCCCCCTTACTTCTTCTTCTCCCCATGTCCCTGTGCCGATTGTGGATGTGTGGATGCGCGTTTAGAGGACTGTGTCTGCCTGATCCAGCCAGCCCGGATCGCATACAGAGGCGATCCGGGCTGGCTGTACCAGGTAGACGCGGCATGTTAGAGGGCCCTCTGCTGGGGCCTCCCGAACAACCCCTTGCGGAGCAGCGGTCGCGCCGATCATAGAGCCGCATCAGATGCAGCGGGCCGGCCGGGTGCAGGTAGCAGCGGAGTTCGAGGGGCCGTTCGTGACGGCATCGCAGAGGCCCGGGGGGCAATTGCCACCCTGCCCCCTGGCCCAGTCCCCCCCTGCACATGGCACAGTGCCTGCGTTCTGGTCCAGTGCAATCTGAAAAAATAGTGCATGCAGCATTTTTTCAGATCTGAAAAAATGCTGCATGCAGTGTCACTACCTGCTGCAGTGCGGTAGTCCAATAAAAAATCCCTCTTGGGATCCAATAAAAAAAGGCATTAAGGAGGTGCCAGTATCCTGAATGCCAGGTAGTCACTGCTCTACCAGCCCCTGAAGAGCACTCCACCGCTTTGGGGGAGCCTGCTGCCTGCCGGTGCGTTCCAGCCCTAAGGATAGTCATTTTCTTCCTCCAGCCATCCCACAGGTGCCTGCAATAGTATGTGCTCCATAGTATTATGTGTGTGACGGGGAGAGATCACTCATTCCACGCTTGTTCCTGTGATGGTTGAGTTCACTTAACACACTGTCTATTCTAGCTTACATGCAGGATGAAGTGGATTTTTTGGCCCGGACATGCAGACTTTGGGGAGATTTCCATTCACATTTTGTTTCGGCTTCCAGAGAGAAAGTAAAGGGATTTTTCCTGACTGGAAAAACAACAAACAATAACCTGGTACTGGTTTTATCCCTTCCTTCAAATTATTATTAAACCCTTTACCTGGAAGCCATGCCCTTAACCTCTTGCCGTCTGCCCGTTGTCAAAAAACAGACGGATGTTAGACTCACATGGGTCGGTTGCCGTAATCAGACGGCATTTATTTTCTGCTCGCATGGGCAGGAAAAACCTGTCCGTTCTTTACAGCCGTTACCGGCTGTTTCACATACAAACGATTGGCGACTCTATAGCCGCCGATCGATTGAATGTTGTGTTTTGCTCGCCCCCCTGTAGTGCCGCCATCACCTAGAGTGCTGCCCCCCTCCTGACCCCTCACCTTTAATCCTGGATCCGCTAGCCCATCTGTGGCCCGGGACCAGCTCAGGAGGGTGCCAGGAGGTAAGATGGGAGGGAGTTTAGCATCTTTAGCGCCCCCTCCCCCCCCCAATCGCGAGTGCCGCCATCTCCCCCCTCCTGACCCCTCACCTTTAATCCCGGGATCCGCTAGCTCATCTGCGTAGTGTGTAGCTCATCTGTAGTGTGAATGCGGAAGTGATGTGTAATACATCACTTCCGCATTCACCTGTCAGTCATCTGGCTCCTATAGCCAGAGAGAAGAAGCTGATGAAGCAGATCTCTGCTTCATCAGCTTCTTTGGGGGTCGCCAGGGGACATTAGGGGTCTTAGAGACCCCTAAGGTCTCCATAAAGAGGACCTGTCAGTGTGCCTTTGCTTTTATATAGGGGGATTGTTATCGCCCTATGTGATAGCAATAACAATAAGTGTCAAAATAAAGGTAAAAATAAATAAAAGTCACATATAAAAAAAAGTAAAAAAACTTTACTCTAAAAAGTCCCCCACCCCCACGTTTACGCACATATAAATGTAAATAAGCGTTCGATTCGCCAGCGCGCGAAAACAAAAAATTCCTCTACACATGTTAGATATCGCCGTGAACGTTGGAGTGAGAGCAATCATATCAGGGCCATCAATCACTGATAACACTAAACTGATGAGTGGTAAAAGCTTTTAAAGCGTCGCCTATGGCCAATTTTGGGTATGGTACTTTTTTGAGGTTTCACGCGTGCGTGCAATTTTAAGGCTTGACATGTTTGGTTTCTTTTTACCTGACGTGACCCCGCCTTTTATATTTTACCAAAAAATTGGGTAAATATAAATGTTTTATAATTTAATATAGTGGAAACCGTTTTGTTTTTTTAATTTTTCCTTAATATAGTAAAAAATAAAAACCTCAGCGGTAATTAAATACCACCAAAAGAGAGCTCCATGTGTCCCCAAAAAATTGTATAAAATTAATTTCAGTACAGCGTTGCATGACTGAACAAATGTCAGTCAAAGTACCCCAGCGCTGAATACTGAAAAATGGCCTGGACAGGAAGGGGGTTTAACAC